TGGCTACACACAAGAAGACTTGTCAGATTTTTAAAACAGTGAAAATGAAAAGAAGGGATTGGAATACAAATTCAAATGGACTTGATGAGAACAGGACCACGGCCTGAAGGAAACCAAGCAGGTCCCTAAAAAGGCCTCATTTAGTGCAGGCAGGTGCTCAGAGGGCCGGGTGGCTGGGCAAAGCCCCGCCCCATCAACGCCCCTCCCCCACCACACTTACATAACAGCAGAAAGATGGGACAGGAAGGGGCCACTACAGGGTGAGGGACATTCTGGCAAATGTCTTCAGTGTCTTAAAGGATGCAGTGTCTCAGCTCCCTTCTGGGTCTCAAACATAATAAAAATACTACATCACACCAGCACGTACACTACACTTTCCAAAGCGCTCTCCCATCTTTGTCGCTTTTATCCTCGGCATTTTGTTTCAGTTTGCAGACCAGCAGACTGCAGCTCTGAGTCACTGGACTCATTCAAAGCGACACCGGCCAGGGTCTGCTCCCCACTGCTGCTGGGGCTTCTGCTGACTCAGCAGAGTCTAGGCATCTCACAGCAATAGTTTGAGTGGCTCAAAAATTACTAAGGGGTGGCTCCCAGGAGGCAAAGCTGAGCCTGGAAATGGGGCTTAGGACCCATCTCTGCTATGACCCCCTCACGACCCCAGCTAGGCAGGGCCAGGGGGCAAACCCAACCCAACAGGCCCAGCAAGAGAAACTGTACACTGGGTATGACAAAGAAAGGATGGCGAAGAGGCTGAGGGGGGCTACATGGGGCCAGACCCCATGGATCTGCCCGTGCACAGCTGGGGGAAGTCCAGGTTCAGTGGCAAGGACCTTGGAAGAGTGAGCTAGGTGCCATTTTTGACCAGGACTCACTCCACCCCATCACCTCCTTCCTGATGGAGAGGAAGTCCTGCAGAGGTTGCTCAGTGCCTAGGATGCAGGTGTTCTCTGCACCACCCCCTCCCTCACGAGAGGGAGCCCAAGTTCCCACTCCTCACCTACCCCCCACCTGGGCAGCAAGAGCCTCCCTTCTTCTGCTCCAGACAGGATGTGGGTCAGGGGCCTGGAAGAGGCAGCCCTCCCCACCAGCGACGCAGATGGTCCAAAGGACTGTGGAAAATGTTTTCAGGAATCAGAGGCTGCAGAGGCTAGATGTGACTGTAAAATCAGTACTGTTTCTACTCACAGTTGGGGAGACCTTGCGACCCCCACCCTTAACCTGTGCCCCCCCACCCTGCCTGCCCCCCACCAGAGCTCTTCTCAGCCAGTTGCACCAAGCACAGAATCCCAGGAACCCAGACCAGGGACAGGAGCTGGGAGAGGCCCGGCTGCATCCTTGAAGGTGATGATAAGACTCAGTACCTATCAAGGAGGCAGTACGAGTGGTGGTCAGACCTGTGGGCTCCGGAGGCAGACAATCTTGTTTCAAAATCTCCCCCAGCGAGACGTGTTTGCCGGGAGACCAGAAGCCGTGTCTGTGTTGTGCACCACAAAGCCCCCAGTGCTTAGAATAGAGCCTGGCCCACAGACAGCGGTCGATATTTTATTAATAAACCAGTGACTCCAACCTTCTGCTTCTTTAACCTTGCCCCGGGTACTTCATCCCTGAGTCTCAGTCCCCTCCTCTGCAAAACGGGACGAAAGCGTACTTACCACGCAGGGTGGTGGTGAGGATTAAACGGGAGACCAGCTACGGCTCTCGGCACTGTGCTTAGTAGATAGTAAGTTTTCAGCAATAGCAGCTAATTGGCAGTTCCTATGTGCCCGACACCGGGCGGCGCACGCCGCGTGCGTTACTTGCACATGCGTACTCGCACATGCGTGCGTTTGCGTGTGTGTACGTGCATTGCGTGCACCCGCTCACCAGCTCGCACCTGCGAGCTGTATGCGTGCCTGCGTGCATGCGCACGTGCTTACACCTAGTCTCAGGTTATTCTCCCAGGAGGACAGCTCCATTATTACATTATGTCTATGGTTGAGGACCGTGAGCCACAGAGAGGAGCCGCCGGCGTCCAACATTGTTTTGCTGGGAAGCGGTGGTAGGAACCAGGTTTTCAAGCCCACTCTGCTTCTTCAGCTTCGCTCTTAAAGCTCAGAAATTGCTTACTCAGAGGCCTTCTGCAAACAGCACTGTACTGTCTTGGGTCGTAATGCAGAGGACAAGGCAAGTCTCCAGGAATCCTTTTTTTTTTTTTTTTTTTTTTTGCATCTGACACTCACTTCCAAAGCCTATGCCCACTGGCAGTGGCAGGGTGACAAATGAGTTGACCAAGGATACAATGATCAATCCCTGAGTGTGGGACCTGGGGCCAGCCTTGCACCTTGCAGCCATGAGGAAACAGGATGGGCTGGAGGAGTTCACAGCCCCCCCGGAAGGGCCTCTCAGCCTTCTGTCCCCCGGCCCCACCCCAATCTTCCAGGTCGCTAGCCCCATCCACAGGAGCAGATGCTGATTCTGTAGATCTGCTGGAAGGTGTGGTCCCTGAACCATTGACGAGCACCCTGGGTAATTCTGTGCAAGTGTTCTTTCTACTTTCGGAAATTTGTGGAAATAAATAAAAAAGATCTTCCAAATCGTTATGTTCTCTAGGGTTATCTATTAACCGGGAGGGAAGGGGAGAGCAGGCTGATTTGGCTTTTCAAGGAAGAGGAAAATGCCAAAGAGTTGTCATCTCTGGGGGCGTCCCGGACTCACCCATTCACTGCCAGTCCCCCGCCCCTCCAGTGCCATCCTGTGGCATACCCTCCACGGGACTTGCTGAGTCACCTGTGAGGCAGCCACCCAACACTTTAGGGCAGGGAACATTAAGCCTAATGAAGGGAAGGAGCAGGGAATCTGAGCTCCTTCCTGTGTCCGGCTCCTCCCTCCTCCCCCTTTGCTTCCACTGGAAAAAAGGAAATTGCCACTAATTGCTCCTTGACAACCCCTGCTGCTCCTCAGTCATTTCTTTCTTGCTGAGATTGTAATTAGGGAATCAGTGCGTTTAAATAGAAAATCCAGGAGCAGCACAGAGCTGTTGTATTTCAAACACTGTTCTGTCTCACGTTCCATTGTGAGCAGAGGTAGCAGGTGAGGCCCCCTGTCAGCTGAGAGCACAGGCCCTGGGCTCTCCTGCAAAGGTGCAGAAGCAGCAGCGTCAGAGATAAACTGTTTGCTGTGCCCTGCAGGCTGGGCCAGAGGCTTTCTGAGTCTTATCACCTCCACCCTGGTTTGACTCCCGTGTTACAGATGGGGAAATGGACTCTCAGAGAGACCTCTGCTTGCCCAAGGTCACACAGTAAATGACAGAAAAGGCACTTACCGCCCCATGTGCCTGAGCCTTCGGCCCATGCATTTTATCCTGAAATGTGACTGCTTTCCCAGTGGAGTGGGGGCCTGTGCCCCCGACCTGAGAAAAGTTAAGGTTGTGCGGCCCGATTCTTCCCCCACCCAAGTCTGGAGGCAGCCACAGACTGGCCTGGGTCTGGCTTCCCTCCAAAGGCCAAGGGGCAGCTCCTGCTGGGGCTGAGAGACAGGAACAAAATTCCATTTCTCCTGTGAGCTGAAGCTGTGGCTTCTCTCTGGATAACGAACTAGACCGTCTGCCCTCCGCCCCCCCCCCCCATCCTCGCAGCAGTGGGTCTGGGCGGGAGGACCCTTAGGGTCAGCTGCATCTCCATGTTAGAGACAAGGAGTCAATCAGAGGCCTCGCAGAGAGAAAATGACTTTGGTGGAGATGCTTCAGCCAGCTCTTAGCGGAGGGAACCAGATTCAGGTGCCTCCCCCAGTCCCCACCAGGATGGAGCTGCTTCTCTGGGTCTCGCAGGACTGGGTATGGGTGGTCCAAACAGAAGGTCAGCACATCCGCAGTCAGGGGAGGAAAGGAAGTTCATGTTTCTTGGTCACACATGATAATAGTGGCTGCGAACAGGAAGGGGCTTGGGGGCCACTCTCTCAGCAGTGACTTTCTGCTTTGTCTTTCTAAGCATCCTCTTCAAAGGAAAAGCCTGGGAGTCTGTGGCCCTCACCTGATGGTGATGTGAGGACCAGCTGGGATCACGGGCCAGGGCCGTGCTCCATACAGGTCAGTTATGAGCAGAAACTCTGCTGCATCTCCCTGTTTAATAATATACTAACGGCATTAACAATTCTTGTAACCACCCTGTGAGACTTTAATGCTTCCATTGGCCATGGGAAAACTGAGGCTCTTGGAGATTAGGAAACTTGGTTCAGCTAGACATCTCCTAAGCAGGATTCCAATTCAGGGCTGTATGATCCTGGGCCCTCACTGCCCGCGCCTCCTCCCCAACCCCTGCCAACACAACATGCCATTTCTAGCTTGGGGACAGCAGTAGGACAGAGTTATCCAGCGGACAGGGGGACACAAGGCACCCAGACAGATCACGCCATGCCCTGGGGCTCTAGGACAAGATTCAGTGTTTAGGCCACTGTAGTTTTCGATGGCCCCGCACTGCAGGAAAGATGCAGAAGGTACTAGATGTCCTATAGGTCCAGAACGGAGGCCGGGACCTGCTGTGTAGCTGGCCCTGGTTCTCATGGAACCTTCCCTGGCTGCCAGTCCCCTGCGGCGGGGGCTCTTTTATTTAGTAGTAAATAAGGAAAAATTCCTCAGAAATCACAACGTGCAGTGAAGAAATCTTAAGCCCTCTTCCCTCCCTTCAAATCTTGTGATTTTGCCAAATACTAAGAACTGTCCCACTTCTTCCTTGCCCTTGGCCATTAAGGTTTTTGGCCCCTCTCCTCTCCCATCTCTCACTCCTGTGCCTCTGTGTCTACTTCTGCCTCCCTGTTTCCCTCCGTGCTTCTGGCTCTGTTTCTTGGCTTGTGCACACCTGAGTGGGTTAATCTCAGGTCAGGAGGAACCTCCGACCCTCGCCTTTCCCGCCCTCCCCTCCAGAGCCCCGTCTTTGTCGCCGCACACGGCCTGGGCCCCCCACGGGCTCCGCACCTCGGCCACCCCTGCACCTACCGCTGTAATTTCCCCGGCCTCAGAGACGCACAGCTACGCCTCTCTGCGCGTGTTCCTCGGTGTAAATGCACATCATCCCCAGCTGGGAAGGGCAGGGTCTTAATTGACTGTGTCTCCGCAAAGCGAAAACTTTTTAACCAGGAGGTGCACTCTTCATCTTCCCACCTGGAGTGAGGGGAGAGAGAGAAGGTGATGGGCAGGGGGAGAGGCTGCAGAAGGCCCACGAGAGTGGCATCCCTCTCTCTCCCGCTGTAGGTAATGAGTTTAAATAAGGTTTTCCACTGTACTGACAGAGAAACCGAGGCTGCAGGAAACTCCATGACAACGCTAGGGAGGGTGGCCTTCCCCGCGGTTAACAACAGGGCAGCAAGGGCAGGGAGGGAGGTTTGGGAGCCCCCTGCACCCCGGGAGCTGGAAAACACCCCGCACCCCCTTCCTTCCTGTGCACAGAACTGACCTGGCCTCCGCGGGCCAACCTGCTTGTGTGCTGATGCGGCTCCGTGCGGCAAGTGCGCTGGGGCTTCCGCGGAGTTCCAGAGAGACAGCACCTCTCCCACAGCGTCCACGCCATCCCTCAGTCCTTGTTCTTTTCTGTTTGGGGGTCCGCCCTGGGCAAAACACCCGGACCCCGCTCTGCTAAAAGAGGGAAACTTGTACCATGTTGCAGGAAAGGGTGGTGTCGCTTACGGGTGTAGAAAAACCTCGGACCCTCTCTCCAGCCTCACTGTGTAAGGGATGGGGGACCCCGGGTGGAGGGGGCTCCAGCCCCGGGCACAATGCCTGCATCTCCCGGGACAGCCTGCAGCTCTGGTGGTCGACACATTAATAACAGGATCTTTGAAACACCTGAACCACCCGGGGGCTCAGAAGCTGATCAGCCTGTGAGCCTCGCCTCCCCCAGAGAAAAGCCACAGTCTGGCTAAGGAGTATTTGCAGGAACTGCGGACCTGGAGGCAGGAAGGGTGGGGAAGACAGCGAGGCTGTTCTGCCCCCTGCTGGGGGAGCACCATCAAATCTCAGTGAAGCCAAGGGCCCAGGAGCTGAGTCTCAGGGTTCCTGGGCTTCGGGTTATCGGAGACCCTGGTTAGCACCAAGCCTCGGGCAGGGAAGAAAGTCCTTGAGACCTCGTAGCCCGGCAGGCAGAGCTGAGGCCATCCTGGCCTCCTGGCACTGAACTTGGGGAAGCCAGTGACCGGTCTCTGGAGTCAGAATGGCCCTGACATGTGTCCGCCCCGGGAGGCATGCCGTGAACGTTTTCTGTTCTGATAGACCTTTGCTAAGGGGACCTGCTTGTGATGTTCCCTTTCCTCCTGAAAACCAGGTGCAGGCAGGCATCTGCCTGATGTTTCCAGAATGGTCATCTGACTTTCTCCTGGTTTGGCTGTTCACTGTTCTTCACGTCCTGTCATCTGTTGGTGGGAGTTGATACTCGTCCACCCACCCAGCCACCCAGGGCTCCAGTAGCCGACAGAAGCCCTCTGTGTTCTGAGATAAGTGCTGGGCACCTTAGGGTGCTGGCCAGGCCCACCTGCTGACCAGAGCGGCCCTGTGGCTGCCTCCACATGTCCGGGAATGGAAGGGCCGTCGACGGAGCTGCCCCGAGGCAGCACTCCCCATCAGCGCTGGGGCTGCCTTCGGAGCCCTTGGCTTTGCTTGGTCTGCCTCTCTCCTCCCTGTCCCTTCAACGATGGCAGGTGGCCTACAGGTGGGTCACAGGGACGGGAGAGCATCATTCCCACCTGAGAAAGGAAGGAGAACAGAAGACACCTCATCCCAACCCTTCCTGGAGACTCCTCTTCCCCATCCTCCCATGAGCCTTGGGAACACTGCTCTGGGTTCTGGAGTTCTGGGGTATCCCCTGCCCCGCAGGCCCCTTACCCTGTAGCCACAGTGCTCTCTGAAGGGAGGGACTCCCTCCCACTGCTTGGCTTAATCTGAGCTGATCTTAGGGGAAAGGAGAGCACTGGGGGAGCTGCGGACCTCACCAGCATCCCTCAGGGTCCTAGAGGGCTCGGCAGGCACGTGCCATGGGGCTCTCCTTTATTTTCTCCGCAAAGGCAGCAGCTCCTGGGGGAGACTTTGAAAGTGCCAGTGGCACCAGCTGTGACGCCAAATATAAAGGCCTTCGTTTCCCTTCCTTCTGCACATAAGTGTGAGTACATACACACACACACTCCCCCTACACACACTTTCTGTGGGACCCTGGTCAGACTGCTCTGCGGAGCCCATACAGGTCATATGAGCCCTCCCTCCCCCGGCCACCAGACCATGTGGCACCAGCCCCCAGAAGACATCAGCCCTCCCCCCGGAACGTGGGGCTTTAGAGGGACAAGGGCACGAGGCCCCCCAGACTGCTGACTGCGCCCTTCCCCAGGCCCCAAGCGGCGGGACAGAAGCGGGAATTTCCCTCCAGGCCAGGCCTCCATCTCCTTCTCTGCGACCCATTCAGGTTCCAAGAGCGAGAGGGAAGTCTGACGCCCCAAAACAAAACACAGCTCTCTGTGACTCATACCAGGCCCTGCTGCTTGAGAAATCTATGAATACTTCCTGGGTTTGGGGGCTGGGGGTGGGGTTCAGTGCTGGGGCCAGGGAGTGCATGTGCACACGTGTGTGTGTGCACACTCCACACTTGGCTTCCTCATAAAACACATGACTTTCTGCGCTGACTTTTCCCCAGACCAAAGCTTTCAGAAAATTCATTCCCAAATCACCCACCCCCTTCTGGGGACGGCCCCGTGCGGCCCAAAGCCTGGAAGGACACTCTTTATAAAGGAGATGAAGAAAAATAGGAAATGAGAAGCACAAACAATACAACCATGTGAATCCAGGGATCCGCTCCCGCCGGAAGTCTGGAAAGGGAAGGGTCTTCTGCGAGGCGTGTTCGAGGAGGCCCAGAGAGGCCGAGTCCCGCTGCCGGGGCCCTGGTTGGCAGCCCGCCCTCCCGGGTTTCCAGAACCGTGGAGAGTCCTCCGTGCTGGTTGTCAGATGCGGTTCTGTGGGGGTTACAGCTGGGATTCTTGCTGGATCTGGAGAGAACCGAGAAGTGAATGGGTTTCTGTTGGGGGTTTTTGTTTTTTTATTGTTGTCACAAACAGAAAAACAATGAACTGGGACATCAACAAAAAGGGGAACCGAGACTCGCCATGTGACTTTTGCCCTTTTCTCACTGTGGCAGAGCGAGAGTGGAGCACAGAGCTCTTTCCCATGGGACAAGTCAACTTGCAGGCTACAAGGTCATCGGGTGTTTAATGCAAGACAAGGAGTGCCCATAAGGTCCACGGAAACTTGTCATGCTGCCATTCCATCTTGTGTCATCTTCCCCCCAAACTCAGTGACACTGGCACTTGTGCCCACGTGTCATGGTGGGGAAACTGAGGCTGAGAGGTGCAGTGACTTGTCCAAGGTCCCACATGCGGAGGCTGAGTGCTAGAGAAAGGATTCAGACCCTCGTCTGTCGTCTGGCTCTCTGGCTCTCGCCCTCCCCCCTTGTCTGTGACCTTGCTCTTCACCCAGCGTGCCCGAGGGATTGCAAGAGAATCGATCCTGACCGAGGAGGTAAGGGCCAGTCATGGACTGTTTCCAGGCAACGCTGCTGTCTGTCCCGCCGTCCTGATTCTGAGACGGGGACTGGAGCCATGGCAGTGACCTCGGTTTGTCCGATAGCAGTGCGCTGGAAACTCAGAACAAAGGTGGTTTTACCTGACACGAGGTGGTCAGAGGAGAGGACTGGGCACGGTGGTGCAGAGGGCTCCACGCAGGGACATACCATAGGCAAACTCAGGCCCAGACAGTGCACGCACTCCGGGTTTATGGACTCGCTCACCCCTTGGTGCACTGGACACTCACGCAGGCCTGCAGTGCTCTTTGAATTCCCCCGCCTGCAAGACTCCTTTCCGCAGCCTGCAAGGGGCGGTATAGCCCTGCCCCTGAGGACCTCCCACCCCTCCCCCAGCTGACTGTGCTCTCTTGTTTCTTAAACACCCACAGCTGATTCCCACACCGAGGGTTTCTGCCCCTCCTGGTCTGTCTGTTCCTTTCTTACCACAAACGCCACCCTCTCCTAAGGTGACCTGACCAATCCTTCAAAAGTGGTACCCTCTGTGATGTCACGCTAGTTAATGTATTTTATAGTATGTCTCACTCATCTATCTTGTGTATTCGCTTCTTTTATTTTCATTTTCTATGCCCCCCCACCACTAATGAGAATAGAGCATGAGTGAGAATAGGGACTGCACCTGTCTTGTTCTTCTCTGTCTCCACGGAGCCTGGAAAAATGGCCGGCACACTGAGGGCATTCAGAAATAGTCACTGGATGGATGGATGGATAAATGGATGGATGGATGGATGGATGGATGGATGGATGGATGGATGGATGGATGGATGGAGGGACGGAGGGACGGAGGGATGTGCAGATGGATGATGGTGTCTACATGTACCAGGTCCCAGTGGAGAGGTAGAGATGAACAACAAGCTGTCTCTTTGCTCAAAGAGCTCACTGTGAAGTAAGGAAGATCTTCTCATAGATAGCTGTGGCTAGGTAAAGTATATGAGGTCTGTCCAGAAGGCATCCGGCCATGCAATATGAAAAATAGAGACATTTATTGAGGAAGATACAAGACACAAGAAACACTGTACACAGGACAATGATGCCTCCGTCCCCTTCAAAGTGGGCACCTTGGGACCTCACACAGTTCTCCCCCACTTGCCATTAGCTTCCCCAGGGTATTTTCCTGAATCTCACCGATAGTCTGAAATCTCTTCCCTTTCAAAGGTGGTTTTAGTTTTGGAAAAAGCCAGAAGTTGCAGGGTGCCAAATCTGGGCTGTAGTGAGGCTGAGTCAACTGGGTGATTTGATGTTTTGCCAAAAAACTCGGCATGAGACGTGATACATGAGCAGGTGCATTGTTGTGATGAAGCTGCCAATCACCAGTTGCCTGTAGCCACAGCCTTCTGAGTCATCTGAATCGTTTCCAAGGAGGAATGTTCAAGCTCAAGGTAAAATTTGATGCAGATCCGTTGCTCTACCCGCTCAGTCATTTTGAATGTGATGGCCACACAGTACACATGCTCA